CCTGTTCATTCATGAATTTCTGAATGGGGAGTAGCAATCCCTATAGAGGCTTCTCCCCATTCATAAACTGCTTGATAGTAAATATTTTACTATCAGCAGTTTCTGAATGGAATCGGAAGCCTCTGTGCTGAGTGCTTCCCATTCATTGAGTGCTGAGGCTGCAGAAAAAAATACTAATAAAAAAAAAGCACAACCCCTCCCTCCCCCCATGATCTTTTTTATTTATTTATTTTCTTTAAAAAAAAACATTAAATTAACTGTGGCAGCGCATGGCAAAGCTTTGTGACTCATTGCCATGCGTTGTGATACCTTGTGTTGCAATTAAATATACACCTGTATCATTTTATCACAACACAAACACCAAAACAATTTTTTACATAAGTCGATTATTTACAGTTTTGCATACCTTCATTTTTTTACCTTTTCGCAAAAAGGCGCAATTACAAATTTGCTAATATTTGTTATTTATTAACTCAATACAGTTTTATCTTTTAGATTTAGTCAGAAAATTATTTTTTTTGTGCACGGATACTGATTTTGGTGTGTTTTAACAATTGAATTGTGTATTTTTATCGGTTTAATATTAATTTGAGAAACATTTGCGCAATTATCGCAGGGCCTACAAATTTAGTATCACCATCTTTTTATTCTACCGGGCCTGCGCTTTCAGAAAATATATGGTTTGGGGTTTTTTTTACAAACGCTAGCAACGCAGCAGTTGAAAATCAAATCAATAGGAAAAAATTGCAGAAAATTCAAAAATGGCTTGGCCAGCTGATTTGAAAAATGTTCCGGAGGGCTTGGCAGCGAAAGAGTTAAACCCTCAGATTTTTTAACATAAAACAATACTGTAATGTGCGCCTTACTGTAATCCATGGAGTTAAATGACAAGCTACTTTAAGGGCATAGATATAATGGATGAACTGGTACTAAGGATGAATAAATAAAGTCTGGGAGAAGTATTAGCACTGGGCATAATTACGGAAGTCAGTAAATGAGAAGTATTGCTAAAACCAAAATAATTCAGAGCATTAGGTATGCACTAGCACCAAGGGGTACATTTATAAAGTAGTGAATGTGAATTTCACAAACATTGATTGGTGGTGAATCACTTGTCAGTTAAAACACATGTACCAGGAATATTAATCTGCAGTGAATGTTTGGCTAATGTCAGATTTACTGCTTTATAAACAAACAGACTCCCAAATGTTCTTGCATACTCCCAGTAAGGTTCAATAGTCTCTACAAGCAAAACTACTTTAAAAGCAATACTGACACTAAAAAATAGAAATACTACTGAGAAGAGCACTACATTGTATCCGATATGTGGTTTTATACCAAGTTAAAGCCCATCAGGTTTAACCTTTCAGTTTTCCCTGTGCATCTGTACCTGATTTTCGTAAGGAAGGGGATGGGGGATTCCTTTCTGAGCTCACAAACTCATTTAAATCAATACAATCAATCCATTCATTACCATATGGTCCTAAGTAATAACAACTGTAAAATATTTCCCTGTAAGACAATCGTATAACTTTTAAAGAAACACTGTCACTTTGTACATTTATGGCAAAGTGACAATGTCTGCTCATAGGGGCTTTCTCTCCCACGTGGGAGTGCTTGGGTCTAGTGGCCAACTACTAGACCCTAGCACTGTCACCTGAACAAGGGAGTGATGTCCCCTTTCTCCTAGTGGCCAACACTGGGGATTTTATTGTCATCTTTAACAGAAACAAAAATATTTTTAGCTGAAAAGAACACTGCAAATTGAAAAAAGTCTTTGATCAACAAGTACAAATCCTTCATCATGAATTAAGCTTCCAAATGTAGCTTTTCTGTTACCCACCCTGAACCTTATTCTTATTGAACCTTGGAACCGCTGTCAAGTTTTAACTGTTGGCTGTGCCTTAATTAGAAAGATTTTCCCTCACTTCCTGTTCAATGGCAGTGGTCAGCATGATAGCAAGTGATGTGAAAAGTCCCTACCCATAACCAAAGAGTGAAATAAAAACCTCATGGTGATTTCAACTCTTCCCCACTCTGACTGGGAAAATACATTTTCTTTGAACATTCAACATGTATAATTAATATAGAAAGCATCCAAAATCAATAACTGTATAACAATTTACTTTAAAAATTAAAAACTTGCCTTGTGAAGTCTGTCTTCAGTGCCCCTGTTCCTGCATACTGCTTTGCACATGCATTTGCATTGTCAGCCCAAGCTGAAAAAACATTGTTTATGTTATATAAAAAAAAAAGTTAAAGTAAATCGCATTTACATTTTGACAGATCCTAATTTTACTTTGAAAGCACAATGTAGCATGACTGGCCTTTGTACCGTCACCCACATGAAAAACTGGAGGAAACATACCATTTTTGTACATTTTTTCAAACTGCGCTTGTTCTTCAATTCTTTGACCAATATGGAGCACGCCAAGTCTCTAAAATTGGAGACAAGATGAAAATGCTTAATGCCCAACAAACAGAACTAAAATTTTAATATACGTAAATGATACCAATAGACATAACATTTTGCGTAGCGGTACACCTTTGGCTACACAGACTACCAAATCTTCAGAAACATTTCAGATTTTTTCTTTAAAGAGCAGTCTACCCAAAGTGATACAGCTTTTGGATATAATAAATATCTTTTCATTATGTTTCATTGAAACATTAAAATAGAAAATACATTGGACACAATGCATACCAGGGGTCTCAATAGCACAATATAGCTCAATTATGCCATCCACATTATACAGGCTGCACTTCTAGCCCCTCCCTTTTTTCTTTCTCTCCTTTATTTTGATTCAAAGGCTTCACCTAATGTACTCATACATGCTGTCAGTTTAACGTCTTATGTATGCTGAGCACCTTCAGCCTCCCCCTTTGCTGTATGCCATTATGATACGAGCGGCCGCTGCTTACAGTCTGGCCGCTCTGACTGCATCCTAGCAACGAACAGACGCCGGAGGGCAGGTCTACAGCCTCCGGGGGATGCGCAGGGCACTATGGGGATCGCAAAGACTGCTCTTCACGCTACAATGGTGGCCATGGCAACCGGGGACGCGGTCCGTTCGGGACCATATGAAATAACAGCTGGATTCTCTATATACATACAGTACCAGCAGCTAAATGAGCATGGTATTGGTTTATTTTCGTTTATTCACCTATGCCTCACTTTGTTTTGGTATGTAAATTTTTTAACATTTTGGCGGGAATTACATCATTATGAATTAATGGGTTGTTCTCTTTGCACCTCGACTGATGTGCATATATAGTTGTATGTTCACCAATGTATTTTGTCACTGTGTCGCTCTGATAAAGGATTCCTGCGAGGACCTGAAACGTTTGCACCATATGACATGATATGACATTCTTCACTAAATGAATATAATCAATGGAATATTGATATTTGAATTTTCAAGTGTGTGTAGGTGAAATCCGTGCATTTGCTGTTAGTGTTTGCACACCGCCATCCATGCGGTCACCTTGAGCACCACAGATACATGTATGCTTGTAAGACCATTGGATTGCAAATGGTATTTGGTATCTTAATAGGAGTTTTGTACTCACTGTAAAATCCTTTCATAATCCCAGAGATGAAAGATTTTCAGTGTCACTCAATGGACTCCAATCCATTAAAGTGACGCTAAAAATCAGGATTTAAAGTGGACCTATAGCCCTTTCACTACAAATCATATCAGCATGCAATTCTGCATGCTCATATGAAATTATCTTGCATTCATTAGTTTAACCTCTTGCCGTCCGCCCGTAGTAGAAAAACGGACGGACGGTACTGCTTCATTGGCGTGTTGCCGTCGCCAGGCGGCATTTTTTTTCTGCTCGTGCGCGCCCCCTAGCGGGCACGCACGGGCAGAAAAGATCCGTCCAATGCGAACACCCGGTACCGGGTGTTTCACATATAGGCGATCAGCGGGTCCATAGCCCGCCGATCGCCTATATGTGCTCGTTTGCGTCCGCACGGTTTGCGGAAGTGTATTACATCACTTCCGCATTCACCTGTCAGTCATCTGGCTGCTATAGCCAGAGAGAAGAAGCTGATGAAGCAGATCTCTGCTTCATCAGCTTCTTTTGGGGTCCACAGGTGACTTTAGGGGTCCTAGAGACCCCTAATGTCTCCATAAAGAGGACCTGTCAGTGTGCCTTTGCTATTATATAGGGGGATTGTTATCCCCCTATATAATAGCAATAACAATAAGTGCAAAAAAATTAATACAAATAATAATAAATAAAAGTCACATATAAAAAAGTAAAATAAAATAAAAGTCAGATATAAAAAAGGGGGAAAAAACCCCCAAAATGTTTAACTCCCCCACCCCCACGTTTACGCGCCTATAAACGTAAATACGCGTCCGGTGCCCCAGCGCGCAAAAATTAACATTGCGCTA